GATGATACAAAGTTATTACATCAAATTTCATCATTCAATGACACCATAGCTCTACAAGCTGATCTTTTTGCTGTTCAGGACTGGTGCACTAGATGGAAACTGTGCCTAAATGAATCAAAGTGCCATCTAATGTCTTTCTCTCTTAAGACAGTCTCTAACAACTCTTACACACTTAATGGCTCACCTATTGATAAGGTCTCAACAACTGGTGGACAAAAGTGGCCAATCTGCATTTTTACTGATGCACACTCTAATCTCTTCTTTTGCATCAATTTTTGTCATTTAAATCTGAAAACTAGCCATTATAATAGGCTTTTAAAGTGGCCATTGCAAATTATAGATAGCTATTTGCTAGTTCCAAATAGCTGATTACATATGCAGGTAGTAGAATACAGCAGATTGCAGATTACAGGTATAGATTACAGATTGCAAATAGCAGGTTGCAGATTTCAGATTACAGGTTGTAGATTACAGGTAATAGATTATAGGTTGCAAATACCAGATTGCAGGATGTAGGTTACAGTTTGCATGTTGCAAAATAAAGTTTGCAAATAGCACATTACAGGATTGCATATTTTAGATTACAGGTTGCAGGCTGTAGATTTCAGATTACAGGTTGTAGATTATAGGTAACAGATTACTGGTAGTTACAGACTCCACATTGTAGGTTACAGGTTGTAGATTACAGGTTACTGGTTGAAAATAGCAGGTTACAGATTGCTAATTACAGGTTGCAGATTGGAGGTTACAAATTTGGTTGCAGATAGAAGAAAACAGGTTGTGCACATGTACAAATTTTTTCATATTGTAGGTGGAGCTAATTTGTTTATAAAATAATTAACATGTAAATTGACACTTTTAATGCACTTATATTACATTGTTTTTATAATTATTATATTATTGAGAAATTTTATTAAATCATTTAGGTGTCAGTGCAAAGACATGATTATTCATAATTATTGTGAAATGCACATTATGAAAGAGTAATTAGTTTAACCATCATAGTCAATTATTTATTCAGCTGACGATTCCTTTTTTGACAACAAAAGGATTAACTCCAGGACACTTCTTGGTATAGGAGCATTGCCCTCAATATCAACACTCTCTCTACATAATGGACAAGATTGACTGGTAGCAATCCATTGAGTAATGCACGTTTTGCACACCAATTGCTTACAGCACACAAGAAGGAAGCAATCCTGTTGTATAATAGACTTGCAAACAAAGCATTTAAACATTTCCTCTACTAATTTGCAAGTCTCACAAGATGTAGGATTGGCTTCAAGTGCCTTTTCAAGCTTTGTCACCCTTTCTTCTAGTGCACTGTCCCTTTTCTTTCTAATTTTCTTCCCCTTTCCTTTTGAGCTACATGGCTTGGTGTAATCTTCCTCATCACTACTAGTCAGTGTGATTGGTGAAGTAGGTGATGAAATTTTGCTTCTTCTGAATGATGGAAGAGGTTCAAAGTCATCGTCATCATCATCATCTTCTATGCCTTGATAGCAACGATAATCTTCATCTGTGATAGCCTTAATCCTTTTATTAGATTTCCAAAACTTGCATCCTATAAATAAAATTTTTTATAAACTCTCTAAAATGAGCTCAAAGGTATATTTTCAAAGTATATGCTGTAATTAACACATTAGTGCATGCATGAGATCAAAAAAGCTATTAGGACAATCTTTAGCTTCCTGAAATGGTCATGATTACAAATTATATATAATCCTGCTTCTCTATTTATATATATAAGGTTTTGCTCATAGATCTATGACCCATGCATTAAAACGTAATTGATACACGTAATGCTAGGCTCTTCAGTGCATGGATGCATGCACATGAAAAGTGTTAAATTTCCCTAACAACTTACCTCGAGAAGCTGATGTTTCTGGTATTGGTAGGTTATCATTGTCCATTAATATAACTTTCTTTCCACTGAACACTTCATTTGACAGTTGCTCTGACACATGTCCAATTGTAGCAGTTGCTTCTGTCAGAAGGATAGGAAAGTTAGAGAACTTCTTTAAGCCACCGTTGACGAATTGATTGACCTCTATGCCCTTAGTCCATTCAATGGCTTTTGCTGCAGCTCCAGGTGGTTTTGCTGGCCATTTCGTCTTGATGGAAATCCCTCTTGGAGTTCGCGGGGCGCTTGTAGAAACTGACGACGAAACTGCGGCAGCACCTGTAGATGAAGGTGCCTTTGGAACCAATGGATCACCATGAACTTGATAACGCAGGTATGTTTGAAGAGCAAACTCTCCTCTTTCATCAGGAGTTTCAACACTACCATCATCAGCAATGAGAAGAACCGAGTCCGGAAAAACCCCAAAAATTTGGCCGATGTGTTTAAGGTTGAGTTGCTCTTCTTTCAGTTTCAATTTCCTGCTGTCCTTGTACAATGTATAAGAAGACATGATAATTTACAGAGAGTTTCTTCAGTTCAGATATGCAAGCGATTATAGAGGTCCACCACGTGTACTTGTTCCATGCACGTGTCTGTCCCGCCCCAAAATAATTAATAATGGAGAGCGTGCCTGTGGAAATTGTAGCAGAATTGAGGAAGAATGGTTTAACTTATGCAGAAATCAGTTTAAAACTACAACAGGACTACCCACAACAAAGAGGGTTTTCAAAAAGGTCTGTTCATCGCTATTGTAAGGAACACAATCTAGAAAAAATGGATGATGATGAAGTGGATGAAGTAGTGGAGCAGGCTATATATAATGGAGGTATAGCTAAATAGTTATTTTGAGAATTTATAGATCTATACTGCAATAATTAAGGTTGGTGAAACTTATGGGAGGAAAATGATAAAAGGCTTGTTAGATTCCAAAGGAGTTTATATTAGAGAGGGAAAGGTAGCACAGTCTTTGAAGAGAGTTGACCCCCAAGCATACACCAGAAGGAGTAATAATACTGTAGACAGGACCAACCCAGTTCCATACCATGCTTCAGGATTTGGTCACAAGTTACACCTTGACCAAAATGAAAAATTGGTAATGTTTGGAGTGACTCATGTTTTGGCAGTAGATGGTTACTCTGGCATGATTGTTTCTCATGTAATTATGCCTGTCAAGAATAATTTATTAATATATGAGCATATTTACAGGTAAGTTAAACCTATAATCTCACATGAATCAAAATTGAATAGGAAGTCTGTATTGACGTATGGATTGTGGGAACAAATCAGAGTAGACTGTGGCAGGGAATTTTTTTTGACACTCTTTATTCAAAAAAAATTACGACAACAGTATGGCTCTACTGAAATAGTACCTTATGTCCAAACTCCATCTACCCAGGTATTATTACAATTAAATTGAATAGCTATAAATACATTTATGCAGAACTTGACAGTGGAAAGATTGTGGCCACAGGTTAACGCTAGGGTAAATTATCCATTAAAAAGGATACTATTCTCAATGCAAGATAGAAACAGTATTGACATGACCTGTCCTACAACTCGCTATTGTGTGTCACATGTAGTAATAAAATTAGCAACAGTGGGTATGGAAAGGTTCATCTCAGCTTGGAATTCTCATTTTATTGCTGGTATGTATAGACCATACACACATTTAATACAGACCATACACACATTTAATACTAATCATTAATGTGATGTTTAAAATATAGGTAAAGGTGTTCCACTTGTATTAAGTCAACAACGTTTTACAACACAAGTACAAGCTTCAGTTGTACCCAGCACTGTTACAGCTACACAAGATTATGAGCAGCAAGGAGGATCACTAACTCATTTTAGTGAATTTGGCATAGACCCATTAAGAGAAAGGCATGATTTAATTAGACTTAGAGATGAGCATTTTGGTGTTGACATAGGAAGCTACGAAACAGTATTTACTGATGCTGTTTCAGGAAGTGGTGATCTAGTTGAGCGTGCCTTGCTTCACTTTTTGACACTTACTCAGAGACTTGCACAATTAATTTGATAATTTAGATACAATTAAAAGCTAAAGATCAATTTCTAGATCAATTAAAATAAAATTAATTAAACTTAATTGACAAGTAAAATGATGATAATAATAATCTTGTTTCAGTTCATCATTGACAATTACTATAATAAATAATTAGTAGCAGCAAACTACCCTTTTTGACAAGGAATCAACTGGGAGTGGCCTAATCAGTAAGATTAGCAGCAATCTGCAATCCACAACCTGGAATCTCAACCTGCACATAGACTTTATCTTCTACTTACTATACTCTCAGTTAACTGGAATCTGTTTTCTGAAGCCTGCAATGTATACTTAAAACATAAATTCTGATTACTGCCATAACTGCAACTAATCTTGCAAAGCCAGACATGCTGAAACCTGCAACTTGCAATCTGAAATCTGGATTCTGCTATTTGTAATCTGCATTATTATACCTGCAATCTGCAACCTGTAATCTACAGCCTGCAACCTGGAACCTACAACCTGAAATCTGTAACCTGCTATTTGGATATCTAAAATCTGCATGCAATCTTTAACCTGTTATTTGCAAACTTTAATCTGCAACATGCAACCTGTAATCTACAACCTGTAATCTGAAATCTGCAACCTGCTATTTGCAACTTGTCATCTATATACCTGTTATGTGCATCTAATACCTACACAATGCTATCTGTAGTTTGCAATGGCCACTTTAAAAGCCTATTATAATGGCTAGTTTTCAGATTTAAATGACAAAAATTGATGCAAAAGAAGAGATTAGAGTGTGCATCAGTAAAAATGCAGATTGGCCACTTTTGTCCACCGGTTGGAGGGCACCCAATGCAACCTGTGTTACTATGAATGCTGCTTGTAATAGAGAGAGAGAGATAGCACTAAGAGCACTTGAAATGAAACGGAAGGAACTGGTTGAGCCACTAAGAAAGAGGAACGAAGCAAGAGAAGCAGTGGCCCTCCTTGAAATAAGAGTCAGCCAAGCTGAGAGGAACAATGTATCAGCTGTAGATAATTTAGCATCAGCTCAAGTATTGTATGATTCATCAGTTGCTTAT